GCGACTTGGACCTAGCCCTCAAGGATGGGAGACGAATGCTCAAACTCGACAAGTCAGACGCACGAGTAGGAAATCCCATATGCATACCCCGCTAACAATAGACAAATTCTGCGCACAAACGATATTAACAGTTTCACACAGGGCTATCTGCGTACAGCTCAGGTTCTACAGCTGAAGAAGAGATTCGAAGATGCCCTAAGACTGTATGAGCACGCTCTTAAATCAGTAGACTCAGAGGATGGTAACCGATCTGTGGGTGAACCTTCTTCCTTCTATTCATATTCGAATACAAGCTAACTCAGAATTGTTAGAAAATCGAAACTCTCAAAGCGAAGCTTGATCGAGCTATAAACCCACCACGGCGGGATCCATTTTCTATGTTCCCTCCCGAAATTATTGCCATGGTTCTTCAGCATTTCAATGTGCCAGCGCTGCTGTAGGTGACAGCCGCTACATCCCGTCTCTACTTAGAATCCCGCTGATGAACGTGTCCTTGATGGATAAACAGAAAACTGCTTCGGGTCTCTAAAAGGTGGAGTCAGCTAACTGTGTCTCTGGGCCAAGCCTTTTCACGGGTGGATTTCACTCTCGCGAGACAACACACCGTTCCCTTCCAGGCAGTTCGTGCATATTGCGTGCGGCATGCTAAGTTCATAGAATCCGCTGTTGTTGGCTGCGTTACTCCGCAAAACGCCTCGAAAACTTTACGTCTCCTTTCGAGATGTCCAAGACTCGCCGAACTTAGTTTGAATGTTCAATTAGCAGCACCGGAAGACATCAAAATACTCCATGATTTTACTGGCCTGAAACAGTTGGTTGTCTGGCACCGTGAGCTGACTTTTGCAGAATTCAATTCTCTGCTTGCAGCATGCCATACTATCGAATACGCCAAACTTTTACTGGGTGAAGCAAAGAAACGACAGGATTGGAAGAGTTGCTCTCCTGCACCACGGATGCGAAGTTTATGCCTCACCTTTTATGAGATGACCGTCGCGAACCCATTCTTCTTTGATGTAAGAAGCACTATACCCGCAGTCATTGCGTGTAAGCATTATCGCTAATCTTGGAAATATATAGAGCTCATTAAAGGATACCATGCCCGTGCTTGAAAACCTAGAGGTTTCCGGCGTTGATGTAGAGATGGAGCTCCATGGTGTGGACACAGACCTATCTGATCACCCGTCTCTATGTGCACTTTCCCTCAGCAAGTTCACCTTGGATGCTGCACTTAAGGCATTGCCAAAGGGTTTGGAAGAATTAACTTTGAACTCTGTTCTTGTCGATCCAGCTATTGGGACCATACCCGTATACAGCTTCCTAACTGGCCTCTCAAAATTGAGAGAAATAAGCTTTTACAGCCTCTCATACGACGTAGGCTTCATGCTTGACGGATATTTTTCTGCCCTGGAATCAAGTCTGACTCCAGATTTAACGATTCTTAATATTGCATACTGCAATATCACTGCAGAGGAGCTGGTCCCTTTCATGAAGAAAGGGCACTTACGCTTAGTAACGGAACTGGGTATTCCTGGCATTATGGGTATGAATGATAGCATCACAGAAGTCATTACGGATACGATGCCCAACCTAAAGATGCTAAATTTGTCGCTTACTGAAGTTACGGGGTACTCGGTTAAGTTACTCGCGGATGCTCCAAATATGAAACTAGAAAGGATCTTGTTGTTGAACCCCGCGACTCCAATTAGCAGAGATGCAATTGAGTATGGACGCAGTAAAGGGATTACTTTTCGATAAATTAAGCGGTATATGATTTCTTATGCAATGAAAGCTTATATTTGTGATAGTAGATAATCTGTGACTTTTAATTCTTCAATCTAAATACTTGATAATAGTCGTAAGGCTAAGGCGACAGTTTAAGAAATGGGAAGAATATCCCTAATCAACATGCCTCCTACTCTAGTTCATGATTCGCGTGTAAAATGATTCTGGGACAAATAAAAGAGGGAAATACAGGATAGTGAATAAAAGGAAAGAAATGGGTATTAGTAACCAATTTACTGGTTGGTTGGGACACCACGCTCCTGGCACCATTTGAGAACTTCCTTATCCAACTTATCCCTCTGATCTCGTACAAGCTCCATCATCTCTTCGACCTGGTCCTTGTACTTGTCGAATGAACCAAGGTTCTCGCCCTTTGTGCCAGCTCCGTTCTTCAACATCGGAACGATAGCATTGTCATAAGTGGCAATCATGAGATCCATGACAGCAAAGAGCTGGTTGGGAAGCCACTATATACCAGGTTAATAGCCATATCGACAAGGCCAGGAAGGTAGGAGACAAAACTTACGGTGACGATGGGACTTCCTCCGGTAGCAGTTGGATGGGAGGTGCGCTTGATGATGTATTCTCTGGCGAAGAGCCAGTGTCTCCATCGGAAGCTGCGAACGTGGTCGAGTGTCTTTAGGTAGAGGAAGACGGTCTCTGGGTCCTGCATGGAGTACTTGGGGATGTCGAGCTCGGCGGACTTAGCAGCGACATGGGCAAGGAACTTGCGGTGGGGCAATGGGCGGTAAGCACGGAACTCATGCAAGATCTTAGTGAGTGGAGTATCAGGCATGGGGATCTGGCAGAGATGATCCAGTAGTGGGATCTATAAGTTGTAGAGTAAGAACGAGGTTAGCTAGGGTCATCTTCATATATTGGGGCTGGTATGAAGATAGGCTTACGATGCTGTCGTTGGCTCCAGACTCTCCACGGAAGTTCAAGGGCTGGTTATCTTCGATGCCCTCATAGACGACGCCGTTGGGGAACATGGTCTGGGAGGTGATGCCGAAGATGAACACACGGAAAGAGATGTAGTCACCTGGCTTGGAGTTCTTCCACATGTCTAGGTATCAATGTGAGCTGAGTTACTATGCATTATAAAGGGGTTGCAGTGCATTGGTTGACATACCTTCCATGCACTCCTCGATCTTGGTCATGCCAGCAAGGATGGTACGGTAGGCATCATTTACGGTAGCACGGTCAGCACCTTGCTCAACGGCATTGAGGATGCGGACGACACCGTCGACAAGGGAGCCAGTCTCCTTGACCATGTACACGTGGGTAAGAATAAAGCCAGCTTCAGAGCTGGCAGGGTCAAGACCGTGCTCGAAGCCACGGATGAGCCTCAAGTTGGAGTAGTCATATCCCTTGGAGGTGTCGGCAAGGGCATAGTTGAACAGAGCATACGAGGCAGCATAAGAAAGGAATGGAGGAAGATCCAAGCTATCAACAACGTTAGCATGACATCATCGTACATACAGTAATGGTGGCTGAAGGGAGCATGGAGGGACAGCATACATCTGAGCACTCTTATACATTGGGCCAGCAATAGAGTGAGGGAGTCTATCACGTCCAAGACCATAGCCCTGGTCAGGACTAGTGTTCCAGGACTTCCAGCAGGGCTCCAAGAGGTAAGAAGAGGCAAGGAAGGAGTAGTCTCTGAATATGGCTGTAAGCATATATAGATCTGGCTTGCCATCAGGGGTGACAATCTTGTCAATCTCATCCGTGAGATCAGGGAGCTCCGCATGGACGACGTCACCCAGTTCATAGGTAGCAAGCAGCCCGGGGGTGCCATCGGCCCTGCGGACAGGGAGGCGGTCCATGATGGAGGATAGAGGAGCGAATACCTCCGGCAGGGTGGTTGCTGGCAGGATGGTAGGCATGAATCCTGACGCAGCGGTGATGGTGAAGGGGTCAACGGACTTGGGGATGGATTGGGGATCGTCAAACACATGAGGGAAGGCCTTCATGGTTGAAGTAGGAACATCCTCGATACGAGTCATGGTGATGGATGATGGATGACTGGGGAAGAGCAAGGGCCTTGAAGATATGGTAGGGGGGGATGTGGTGTTGTGGGTGCGTCTTCCTCTGTGGGAATGGGTGGCGAGCCTATGTATATATGTATAGGGGGGAGTAGATGTAAATAAAGGGGGCAAAGGGGCTTTTCAGGTGTGGGAAATGGTATGGTGCAGCAACGAAGTACAGATTCACCTATTTGGCCTGGGTAAAATGGTAGAAAGGAAGGGAAAAATGAGAACCTGGAGGGGAAAAATGGCAGCATTATATATCCTTCTTGAGGCCGGAATTGATACCGGCCTCACGCACTAATTACGAAAGCTGGACAGGAAGAGAGGGACCTGACAAGCCGTTGCTTGATCAGATGACGAAATAGGGCGGCTTTCTTGGGTATAACCCAGCAAATGCATCGTAGATGACGCTGGCATCGTCCCTGGGGCTTATATAGAGTCCTGCCATGTTGATATCGTCGATATCAAATAGGCAGAGGAGGCTCATGGCTTGATTAGGTAAACTGTCGTTGGCGGCACTGGCGAACCCAAACCCGCCTGGCCCGGTCTGGCCAGCTGACAGATTAGATTATCAGATCGTCTATAAACGCGGTATCAAAGTACATTTCAGCCTCCAGGAGTCCCGGTGAGGTCCCATACGCCCCTCTAAACCCTTCTCCCTCAAGGCTCAGGGATGGACTTACGAGCAGTTCGATTGAAGATGGCACCCTGATGTCGTTTCTCATGTTCCTTTTGTCTCCAGCCGGCGCAGAATAGTACATGCAAGCTACAAGGACGTTCAAAGTCAAACCTCAATCGCCACGCCTACAATTGGCCAGGAGCACTGGAACCAGCCAAGAGGCCGGAATTGAACCGGCCTCCGTTAATATCCGGCCAGTGGGGAGCATTATTCATCGAGTGCCTGGAGCCGATTGCGATCACCCGGGCTGTGAGTGGCTGCGGAGGAACGGAGGACAAAAAGCAAAGCAAAAAGGCCCGAAATCAGGAGCAAAGGGCGGACAAGGATATATAGGGTGCAGCTGCACACGTGTTTTTACCCAACAATTAAATTGATATAACTAATACAACGTCAAGAGGACCCTCGAAGAGATGAACACCTTGCGGGAAAAAAAAAGGAAAAAGAAATAGAAAGAAAAGGCGGGGGAGGGGGTGGATAGTGGCAGGAGGAATATTATTACAGCAAAGTCATGGTAGTGAAGTGATGGCGCTGGCCAGGGCAAGAGAGAAGAGAAATAGCACCCAAAAGGGGCGCGGCGCCAGACTCTTACTTTTGGAGGATGGAACCTGCAAGCCGCTGTTGATATGCACATCATAGCATACGGTCTCAGTTGAAAGGCCACCGGCCCTCTGGCACCGCCGGGAAAAGGCAGTGTCCGTCCCGTTCTCGCTTGCGCTGGTGTTGTGGTATATCGAAAGATGCTTGACTCGGAGATACACGTCAGTCGTGCTTGGAGATCCGCTCCACATCCCCCCGTCTGCCCAGAGGTTCAGGTAAACGCTTCCTTCGTCCTTTGGAATGCGGAGGTTGTTGGTGTGCACTACCTTGGAATTTTGGTAGAACCGCAGCTCTTCTTTCGTCCAGTCGAACCGATGGAGTTGGAAATGCTCGGCTGGCCGGTGTCCCTTTAACGCAATGATCTCAGTTGCATTATCAATCAGCCATCCCCGATCATCCAAGGCCGGATGCGTGGTGTAATGAACCAACATGGAGTCGGGCTTGAACTCTCTCGTCAGGATTTCGATATCGATTTCGTTTTTGTCATCCTGTTCCCCCCATTAGTACTCTTTCTCATAAAGGAGAAGCCAATTTGGATAAGGAGTACAGACGCGATACCAGAAGAACCCAGCCACGCTGCCTCCCGAAGCATTTTCCATTATCATATCTGCCCGAAAGCTTCCATGCAAGATATTGGAAGCACGACTGGCGATTGACGATACGCTAACGTTATGTGCAGACATTACAGACTCCTTTGAATACCCTTCTTGCCGCAGCGTCAACTGGCCATTTTCAAGGTATACATTCTCAGGGCGGTTGAGTATAGGCAAGGGGGTCGCCCAGTTCATCACTGGCAACCCCCATTTCTGAATTGCCCAGTCACGGGTGAACTTGGGGTTCGTACTTAGTGGCTTTGTTGGCGAGTAGGTGCTGAAATTGTTATGTATGAGGTGAGTGTAGTAGTCCTGAGTATCGTTGATGACGAAGCCGCATTCACAACTTGCCTCAGCGGTGGTTGCGTATATCACGAGGAATGCCAAAACGGCATGCCTGATGAGAGATGAGAGATCAACTCGAGCTGTCCTCACCGGCATATCTGGTGGGGCTGGAAGTTGGTGTTAGATGGTGATGGGTGGCAAGCAATGGTCGCGCTTCGTCTGTGCGATCCGACCGCATCAGGCGCATCAGCCTGTTTCTCAGAGAGATAGAATCGCTCGGGTGCATGAAAATCAATGCAATGTAGTTCTTTTCATAATAACCTGAAGCGAAAATGTAAACAGTCCCCTTAACTAAGTACAGCAAAGCGAAGCAAGGGGGAGAAGCGGAGGAGAAGTTGATATTTCTAAACACCACAACTTTCCGCAATAGGAAAGACCGAAGTGTTGATATATATTCTAGCCCGCGAAAGCAAGGCGGAAGGAAGTAGAGACAGCCGCCTCGATCAAAACACTGCATCCTCGGACACTATTGACACACCTCCTACTACAGGGAGAGGTCCTGGACATAACCAAACATTACGTAGCATTCGAGAATACTACTAGAAATGCCGAGAATCGCCGTTGTCCCTCGTTAGCCTTGAGTATGTATCCCGATCAAAGGCCCCAACGCCTGGCTAGCTGCTTTTTAAAGGCTTCTAAATCAACAAGAACTCCTCCAATACGAAACTTGCCAGTCACATATGGATCGGGGTTGCGTGGGATAAGCATCCATACATGTGATATACTGCAAACCCCATCAGGTATCACACCGTCTTTTGCGAGCTGTTCACATTTTTCGCAAAACAACATCATCCCAAGACAATAAGTGCAGACGTAGACGTTGTCGCTCCCTCGAAGTAGTTTCTGGCATCCGTTACATTCCCCAATGAAAGGCTCGTCACCAGTGGTTTCATCTTGATTTCCCCTCCTCCACATCCCCGTTTTAGTCCTCATCGAATCGTTGACCATTGCTACTAGGCAATAGAAAATGGGAATGACTAGCTCATCCTCACCGGTTGCCAAGAGCACCTCCCTAAGGGTTTTGTAAGCGAATGTGTCATTTTCCGGGTCATCACTTGACAATAATTCAAGCGCGTATTTAATCGATGGCCGAAAACAGGCGTCTGCATCCTCCTTTCTATCTTGTAGCCGATACCACAGCCCAAGGCGAATGGCAGCCTTATTTGCAGCGTATGATATGGAGGAGCCACTGTCGTGAGGGTTTGACTCCTGTTTCGCTAACCGCTCTAAATTCTGGACGTCGTTTTCTGCATCTGAAGAATCAATGCCGGCTTGCCATAGATTTCGGCTGTAATGCGTAGCTAGCCGGTCTGTTGCCTCATCTTTGACGAAGAATATGGCACTTCCCAGTCTTGGTTCTGCAAAGGACTCAATCAGCTTGTTCCATATCCTTAAAGCTTTGGCTTGCTCCCTTGTATACTTATAATAGAAATCCGCAAGACAAAGCTCTAGCTTGCTTGACTCAACCGAGATTAACAGCTTTTTTGTCACACGAATCGCCTCTCGGCAAGCATCGATGAAAAAATTCTCTTGACCGGTTTTTCTTGCAGCTCGCGCAACAAGTTTGAAGTAATCTGAGTTAACATCAAAGTTGATATATACGAAGACGGCCAAATAAGAGCAATCTCCGGTTGGGGTCATCTTCCCTTGCATAGCTTTCAATGTCAAGATTATATCTTCGCAGAGGTTCTGAGCATCCATCAAAAGTAGAAGTTGGCAGATACATTTGTTGCATTGAGGGGAAACGCTGTGGCCTTTCTTGTAATATTTCAACGCATTTGTCGTATCCCCCAGTTTGGCATAACATTCAGCCGTCCCCTCATGCATTGCATGAAGATACTTATTCACTCCAGCTGGTTTCCCCGTACCCTGTTGAACTTCGGATATTAATGATGCGTGCAGTTCAATAACTTTCTCATACTGCCCCAGCTGGAAATATGTTGCTGCCATACCACCACGCGAGTGCCACAGAGTACTGTCAAGCTCTAATGATTTGGTAAAGTACGTCAAGGCCTCTTCAAGGAAACCCTTGTCACGTAAAGTCACAGCAACTCTCCGATACCAATTGGCTGTTTTCTCCATGCCCAACCGCTCGGCTAGGGAGATAAGTGTCGCGGCGGAGTTGCAACCTTCATGCTGCAGATCTGGAGTCCCATCCCTAAGGCAAAAATAGTTGAAAACCATGTCGCAGCAAGTTTCGGAATGCCCTAGTAAATCACCAAGCCAGTATCTTTCGACAACTTGGACTAATGACTTAAATGTGTCTGCAGGTGAGCTAGAAGTTGACCTGACAAATTCTTGACTATCAGGGGGTAGTTCAGCTACAATTTGCTCATCATCCAGCCATTTTCTGACTTGTCCCAGGTTTTCCGTAGTCAAGAATGGTGGCCCGACAGTAAATATCCAATATTTCATGGTACTTTGTTGGGTAAACATTCGACACAATAAAGTGACTATTTGTATCTTTTGCGCATTTTTCATTTTTGAGTGATCAAGCTTAAGAAGATGTTTTGGCCAGTTCTTAGCTGCATAATATCGTAAGCTTGCGGCTGTATCCTCTGATTTTAACATGGACTCTTCATCACACGAAATATCAAGCGCTGACTTTTTAGATGCACTAAGCATATAGAGGTGTTTTGGCCAGTGCCCATCCGCATCATATCTTAAGCTTGTGGTTTAATCCTCTCCATCTTCGTTGCACAAAAGCTCCAGGCATAACTTCGTGACATTAAATTGAGCGTCATTGAAGTCGACTCCGATACTGGGATATCCGTCACCTGCGGAAACTTTGCCCTTGGCACCCCGAAAGAAGTCTCCTAGGGATGAATGGCAAAATGTAACCGTCGTTGTGTCTGGGTTCGAGTCAAACTGAGTTGTATCATCTGCATCTTCAAAAGTCTCCACTTGGGTACCATCACTAGATTCTTCGTCATCTGAGCCAGCAACGTTTGGATTCATAAGATGTAGTTCGGCAGTAGTTAATCCATCTTCGCGATTAAGGTTGAAGAAAGAAGCAAACTGTCTCCGAAGGGGTCCTTCCAGATAGATCATACCATCCCCGTCAGGGGATTTGAGCTTTAAAATCGTATCAAGCTCTCTCAGTGTCAGGGGCCACTGGGCACATGTTACCCAAGCTAGCAACTCGTTTAGGGTATCTGGATAATCGTCAACAAGAGTCAAAGAGAAACTTGTGAGGACATGAGAGAGCATTTCATCCAAGCCACGAGGCGCAGAATTAAGGGCTTCGCGGATAGCTGACTCGCTTCTTTTCTTCAATAGCTCTTTCAACATTAGTTGAACCCAAATAAACATGCCTTGAGCCCGATCAGAAAGTTTCTTGACAATTTCGGATCGTAGTCTTGCCGAGACTCTCTTAAGAATGTTCGACTTTCGAATATTATTCTCGATGAAACAAATAATATCGGTTGAGTTTTTATTTTCTGTGATATAGATCGTAGGAACATCATCCACCTCAAGAGATTCAGAGATAAGATCGCCGAGTTGGGGCCTGCCAACTATGGCTAGCTGAATTCGAGGATTATCGGTCACTAAAAAAGACGTTAACGAAAGCCTCCCTCAAAAATTTCCAAGAAAAAAAAAGTCTCCGTGACTTTGAGGTTCAAATGTGTACCTTCATTTATGTCCCTAACAAGATCAAAAAACGGCTGTATTTCGGCATCAAATGCTTCATCAACCCCATCAAGCAGCAAATAAACACTGCTGGCCACATTTGACTTTTTGACGAAGAAATTGACGAAGAGCGTTCGCCAGGCACTTTCGATGGTGCTAACATCTTCGGCCGTGAGGGCGCTTGTCACAATATACTTCGCGTAAACTGGGTCATTTTGACTGATTTGATATGCCATGTCACGAAGTGCTTGGTGAATAGACCTTGTTTTCGGGTTATCATCCTTGAAGAAGAAATACCCCACTGAGACACGAGAAGAATGATGCACAAGCTGTGGATACTCGCCATTGAGATATGTTATCATGTTGGATGAGAGGTAAGACTTTCCGGCTCCTGGGTTACCAGAGACTCGCAAAATAGGTATCTTCTTCTCTACCCAGGATATAAAAAATGGTTCATTTCTAATCCAGTCTCCAGTGTCCTTAACTCGAGACTTATTGATTTTATCGTACCAGTCATAAGCAGTGACCGAAGGCTCGAGTGCTCCTTTGATAAACTCTTGGTGATTTCTGTCTTGTTCAGCTTTTGAGATCTCGTTTGACGATTCCGTTTCTTGTATGAGGTTATTCAGTTTTTGGTTCATGTCCGTGACTTCGAGACTCATCTGAGAAACCGAGTGGCTTGTTTTGTCCACGGTCAAGCTTGTGGCAGCGAGATTGATTGCGACGTCATCAACGGCACGGCTCGTCTTCTTGGTCTCTGTTAATGTTTCGGCACCCACAAGACGGTGTTCAGTTTCAGTGAGTTTGGCGAGCCTTCCAACTGCCTCCTTAATTTTGTCGTCATTGCCAACCAAAACGTTCCTGGCAAACTTGAGAAACCTGCCTCCCTTGATTGCCTTTCGGGATAAGGCGAAGACCTCAATCAGAACGACAAGGATATCACTAAGATGTTTACTCAACTCATTTGAAATAAGCTCGCGGTTGTATATGCGTAACCGAACGGTAAAATTCTATATTTTTTATGTTAGTTGAAGAACAACCTAATTCTCTCGTAGGCCATACCTCAAGTGAGTCCATCAAGTCCTTGATAGCATTGTAAGAAGCAGAAACTCCTTTAGCGGCATCCATTAAATAAAGGACTGAACCAAACACAAGAGAGCTTGGAGGAAACGCTATAGAAGCTGCCCCGGACACAAGATTCCCAACCAGCTCGATGGGCTTCAGAGCACATTCTAGCGCATCGAATAAGCCGTGCCTGGTTGACCGAAATTCGTCGAATTTGCCATTTTCCTTCTCGATTTTATCCAGCAGAGCGTCGGTGGATGTGATCTCAAGCAAGGCGGGATCAAGTAGCGGTTTTTTAGTGATTTCCTCATACTTCTTTATTGCTTCCTGGAAGACAATAGGAATTTGGTTGTATTCTCCACCCATCCTCACGCATTCGGTAGATTAGAATCAATTATTTGATGCTTTCTTCTTCTAAAGAGTGGCGGCTTATGTTCTCATGGAAGAAATGGAGGATTCGTCTTGGGAGACCTCATGGTTTATATAGGTCCATCGATAGGCACTCCATTGCGGGCAGGGGTATCTTATGCGAGGGGACTAAGCTCACCCCACTTCGTAATAGGATTGGAGATGAATCCTTCGCAAATGCAAGGTCGTTCTCGTTGCTGTCATGAAGGATGCGAACAAGGCTCGCACGTCCGCGGGCCCCCCCACTAATCTTGAGCAGGAAGACATGGGTCCAATAAGTGCACGAGGAGACGCTATCGAACTAACTAGTCACTTAGTTGATCCATTGGCCATGGGCATGCTTAAATATCATAACTCCTGGCACAACCAGTTACAAACTGACAATATAACCGGGAAGAGGGTGAAAAGAAAGCGGTTGACGTTGAAGCAGCCTATTTAGGTAAATAGCTAGCTATCTAACTAGCTATGGGCTGGTAAATCACTTACTAAAAGTCCCTTGCATCAAACAACATTGATGGTTTAGTGGTAAAATCCGTCGTTGCCATCGACGGGCCCCGGGTTCGATTCCCGGTCGATGCACTTTTCTTTTTCTTTTTTTGCCCTTCTTCCTCTCACCCTTCTTAGTATCAGATTAAGTCGCTTCTTTATGGAAAGAAGATGTTTTATTATCACTTTATCTATTGCTATTAACGCTACTTACTACGTATAGACTTCCTCACTACACACTTCACCGTAGTTTTCCTGGAGTCAGGCAGACAGACATTTGATTGTTGAACCATATAAAAAGGCGAAAGGGGGGAGAGTTACAGAGAGGTACAAACTCCAGACACTCAGACATAGCCGGAAAGGCAGAATAGAGGCATAGATAAAAATAATATAAGACGTGAGGGGGCGGTGACGCACAGGTAAATATAGATAGCAAGTAGGGAGGTACGTGGGTAAAATAGAAAGGGGAATAGAGGAGATAAAGTATGAGTACGGCTAATAAACAGACGCCATGATGCCCATGAATGAATAACGATGGAGATGTTAATGTTGATGAGCCCCGTATGAAATGGTTAAAACAGTAGGAATGAGAGATGAAGCTATTTTAAGTAGTCGTCAACGACGTTAATAAACGCCCCTGCGCCGCCGTCTTCGCTGAGTTCGTTTACAAGTGCCTCGGTCTGCTGGTACAGCCGCTCTAGTGTCGCGGAGGAGGACTTCCCCAGTGATACTATGGCAGTCTGTTAGTAGATGCAGTGGGAAACAAGCGTGGAGGGGCGTTACCTAAGATGGCAGAGTTTAGTTCCTCCGCGACTGCAACTCGACCGCTGGGATCCAACAAGTGGCCGTGAACAGAGGTTTTGGGGTCCGCATAGGCTACTAGTGAGAAGATGTCGTCCAGGGTCTTTTTGTGCTCCTTCTTCTCGTCACCGGGGTAGTCAGCTTGTAGCTGCTGGCCATACAGTATAGCTTCGTGCAGAAGATCTTGGTCCTTTTTGACAGTTGTGGTGTCATTGTTAGCATTGTTGGTATTTCCGGCGTCAGTATCCATCATGTCGCTAGCAGCAATTGCTTCGTTGGCATCGACGTCAGGCATTTGGTCATCGACTTCCATGTCGAGTGTGAAGCCGTCGGAAGTGGTTCTGGTAGGTTCCGACAGGCCGTTTGATGAATTGATTGCGGCAGGCTGCGGCTCAGTACAGCGACGCATCATCTCAATGAACTTTCTGCATCGTAGTCTGAAATGGATGTGCGGGTTGTCACCGAGGACGCTGGCATAGTGTACATTCGTCAGCTTCAGGGCCCTGTCGATGTCTCCCTCCAGTATCGCTGCTCGTATTTCTGGGCACGAAGTTAGTTGGTACCATCTGATAGGGAATAGATGAAGCCTGGGCGTACTTTGTCTGTTGATGGCATCTATGTCATCCTCAACCTCGAGTTCCTTCATGGACATTTCTCCGGAAGTTTGCAAAGCACGCTTTTCATCCTGAACTTCCTGTGCAAATATCTTGGCAGTTTCTACATACCCATCATGTGCAAGGAACTGGGCAACGAGTTTCTGCATGAATTCCGATTCATCTAATGTAGGATGCAAGGTAGAGAGGTCCGTCCTCTGGATGTTTTGCTGGACATCATATTTTTCACTCTATCCAAGTTCTCGTTAGTATCCCACAGCTCATGCACGAGATGGGAGTGGGACAACGTACCGCCATCATACTATCTATGTCGAAGATGAATGGAAACTGGCCAAAGTTCGCCTTGACATGTGCGCCAGGTTGTTTTCTCATGCCTACACAAGGGTAGAGCTTTGCGGGCTTCAAATCACGGAACGCATTTCCTGCCATGGCCATTAGTAATGAGCTTCCTAAAATCAACAGCAGGCGATATGTCTGATAGACTGTACAAACTCACCGAGGAAAGACCCATTTTTTGTAAAAAAAGCGTTTCCAGTAGAGAACACAATGCCGCATCCAATCGTATCATTGACGGTAAACGTAGGTCCATAAGGCCTTCCCTGGCCTTGGTTGTCGCCGAAAAACGTCTTACCGTCATCACCATGGTAGGCCCAGGATTCCTGCTCCCAGCCTGGCAATCTCTCCAGGGAAGCCTTGTTATTCGAGAAACCCACTCCAATCATACTGTTAAAGCTGTTAGCAAGTCCCTTTTTTTATTTTTGTCGCATAAGATTAAAGGATGTAGAATGAGCTGAGTGGTCTGACATACCCGTCTTTCGGTTTGGCTAGGATAGTGACTTCAAAGTAATATATGCCACATTTGACGGGCATGGGTTGATCGGCTCTTACAGCTGCGGCCTCGTGTTCCTGTTTAGGCACATGGCCAATATACCGTACCTCTAGCCCTTCTCCTAACAAATCCAGGCCGCTGTACTTATCACTCTCGTTCCAGCGCGAAGGTAATGGGGTAAGTTGCTGTCCCTCTAGCGGTGCAGTCGAGTCACCGCCAGGACCATGACTCTCAACGATGTCATATGTCATTCCTCTGTGCGAAGGCGCCATGCGGTGTAGGTTAAGCTGACTCGACGAGGCAGATAGAGGGAGTGAGGAGGCTGAGGGGAGATGTTGGGCGGAGGAGCCTGGGGTAGGTGTATGCTGATTCTGTGATTGAGCATCCCGTTGGGAGGAGAGCTTTGCCTTGTGAGCTGCATATAGCTGGGCAACGTATTTTGACGAACGGAGGTATGAGGGGGTGAAGAAGGAGTCTTCTGGGTTTTGTTGGTATAGCGAATTGTTGAGGCCAAAAGGTAGGGCATTCAGATCTGCCTGTTCGAGCAGTTTCTCAAATTGCTTTGAGTATGATGGGAGCTGCCCCATGCCGATGCCCTGGCCCAGTTGGAAGGAGATGTTTGAGTTTGGTCTCCGCCAGCTGTTTGTGGTTGAGCCTGCGCCGGCACCGCTGCCGTTTGTCTGCTGCTGCATGGCTGCGGGATCTGCGGGGGGTGCGGAAGAGGAGAAAGGGACTTGGTTGCGGGATCTGGAGGAGGAGGTATCTTGGATGGCGTTGTTATTGGTGCTAGACGATGCGGTTAGACTTGAGCGGAACGGAGACGGAGGGTAGTGCTCGTCATGCTCGTGCTCTGCTTGACCTGGCTGGCGCGACAGGACGGAGGCGTAAGAGGACCTGCGCGTGCGATAGATGGTAGGGATGGCTGTGGTTGGTAATGGGTAAGGGGAAGTCGAAGCTGGAAGGCCAGTGCTGGAGCCATTACCAGCTCCAGAGCCAGCCCCTGTACCAGCACCAGAGCCGGAGCCTGGTACACTGCTCATGGTGGGCGTGACAGCGCTGTACACCGATGCCTTCTGATGCTGATGTTGCTGGTGCGGGATATCAGGAGGCCGTACCTTTGGGTGAGAAGCTATGAAGTGCCCTCGTGCAGCGACAGAGTCAGTAAATGCGTTCTCCAGAAAACAAGAGAGACAGGTACCCGTCAGTGCTGCTTGCTTGAAACTGAGTGACCTTTAGTTACTTACCCTGCTGCTATCCTCCTTTGCTTTGCTTTTTCCCTGCTCGATCTGCTCCTTTACTCTGTTTCTGTTGTGGTACGGTGTCACTGGTCCAGCGTGTATCTGCCTGAGGGTGTGTGTTTGTGTTTGTGTGTGTGCGTGTGTGTGTGCTGCCCGTGTCCAGCAGTGGTAAAAATGGTCCACCAGCTCGATATTTCTTCTTCTGCCTTCTTCTTTGAAGCTGGCAGCTCTGCTGCTTGCGCTTATCGATAGTTAACTAGTTGGTCAAACAACTAGCTGCGGCAGCATAGCCCCAAACCGAGCAGAGCAGTGCGTAACTATGCCGAGTCTGAGCAAAGAGAAGCTGCAGACGATGTTATATAGTCGAGGTACAGCACTTTATGACAACATGGCTGTGTGTCTGGGTGCTCTCTCTCACGCTCTGTGTATGTGTGGCGCGGGTGTAGTTATAGCGTGTAGTTATGTAGTTCTGGCGGTGATGTTGTTTTCTGAGGGGAAAGAAGGTAGTCAGTCCGGGGTCGACGGCTAGCCGTGGTCAAGGGTCAGGCGCTGCAGGAGGGAGAAGCAGACGGACAGCTGCGCGCAGGCGACTCAGAGGCCTACAGTGAAAGAGACGAGCGACGAGCGTATCTTCCTTGTTTCTTCTGCTGCTTCTGCTGCTTCTGCGTGTCTGTCTCTGCTGCGAGAAGCTTGTCGCAGGTTGGGTTGACGTTGAAAGCCAAAAGAGCTACAGGCGGACGAAGTAGAACGGAGGGCGGTCGGGAAGGGGTCACATGAGCAGAGACAGGGCCACGCACACGAGCAGCAGAGGAGCAGCAGAGGAGCAGCAGAGAGGATGTCTACGGTGATAGAAGGAGAAAGGTCTGCGTAGGAGGCAGCGAGCGGATCAAGCAGTTGTTTGGATGCTGATGTTAAGGAGGCTCGAAGGCCGGCTATCTAGAAGTACATTGGTAGAGAAAGGAACCTTTAAAGAGACCGACCAACCGACCACGCCCATATACCATTAGTAGTAGTAGTAGTAGTAGAAGAAGAAGAAGTAGAAGTAGCTGTAGCAGTGTTTGTTTTTGTTGCATTGCACCTGGCAGGAAACAGGAGAAGACGAAGAAGAGCGAAAAGAACCGAAAAAAAAAAATCCAGACCGAATATCCCAAGACGCCGTGATAAAGTGTGTAAGGTGTGTAAGTATGGTATAGGGGGTAGAAGACGGGAGAAAAGGATTAAGACGGAATAGTGTACAGTGTATAATTGAAAGTGAAAAGAAAGGGGGAAGAAAATGAGAGAATCGAAAGAAAAAGGGAGAGGGAGATAAGCGGAAGACTCAAGAGGCAACGGCAACAGGAGCAGGAGAGTCGATATCCATCATGCTTCCGGCAGGCGTAGCATCTCTCCCAGCTTCAGCTTCAGGCTCAGCTTCAGTAGGATCAGCAGTGCTCTTCTCACTCTTCTCACTCTTTGCACTCTTTGCACTCTTCTCGCTCTTCTCGCTCTTCTTGTCTTTCTCCTTGTCTTTCTTCTCTCCGTTGGTAGCCTCCTTTTCTTTCTGTTTCTCCTCTTCTTCCTCTGGCGTTGGCTTGGGCCGAGGGGGAGCCCCCCAGCTAGGAACCTGCCATATCACACCGGTAAAGGACTTGAGCTGGAACGACTTTCGCTCCCACTTGCGACAGGGCTTGCCTGAGCGGTCCAGAGCACGCAGACAGGCGTTGATGGCCCCCTGGTTGGCCTTGGGGCCCAGGCGGTGGTGAGGTGGAGGTGGTGGACGAGAGGGAGTCTCTCCGTCTTCCCTGTATCGCTATTAGCATGCTTCTCTTGATTCTCGGACGTGTATGTATTAGGAGAAAGGACAGGGGTCCAAGTCTATCAACTTACAGTCTTGGTTTCTTCTTGGGGCCCGGCTTGCCTCGTGGTTTAGGGAGGCCGTCTGGACCTAGAGCCTGAGCACCTCTCTTGGTCCCTGCCTTTGCAGCCCCCGACCCCGAGGCCGGTGCTGAAGTAGGCCCGTTGGCGGTGGCAGCACCCGAGCCAGAGACCGACGCTGAGGGAGTCGAAGGGGTAGGCCCGGCACCGGTCGAGGCAGCGTCGCCGTCTGAGGCGTTATCGGTGAGAGGAGCAGCGGGCGGCGTCGACGGCGAGCTGGACTCGTCCTCCTTGTTGGCCTGGCTGTCCTCGCTGGCATTGCCGCTGCTGCCTCTGGGGAAACGGCTGAGCAGGGCTGGCGGCAGCGAGAGGACGACTATCCTGTTCATCTTGGAGGCGGTGCTGCTGGCGGTGCTGGCAGAGCTGGCAGCTGGCTGCGAGGAGGTCGACGAGGTGTCTGAGCCGGCCATTGTGCGGTGGTTGTGCGGTGTTAATACAGGGCAGCGTGCAGGTTTGGGCAGAGTTTTCCGGTCCGGCGTGGCTCCTATTTATTTATTTTTTTGGTTCTCTTGGTGGCCCTCTTCCGGCGAGGAGCGGAAGAAGGAGTCGAGGTAATTAGGTTAGGGGCAGCCCGTCGGCGCTGGCGATGGGTGCAGAGAGTCGAGCGGTGGGAGGCAGCGAGGTGAGATGGACTGGATGACGGAGGTGACGGTGGTGGAAGGGCGAGGACGAGGGCGAAGGCGACGGGGGAGAAGAAACGGGGAGAGGTGGTTTTGAGTGTGTCATGGTGGCCGGCCGGTGGTGGTTGGTTTTTTCGCTTGTCCTTGTCCGCGCATCCGTCTCACTAACCACGACTAAGGAGAGAGACTGACGGGCGACTTGTCTTTTTTGCTTGGGTCGTTCTTGAAGGGTCGCAAGGAAGGGCAAAAGCGACGCGGCGGGCAAAGCGAACAGAGGGCGAGGGCTTAGGTAAGCAGGAAGAAGGAAGGAAAAGAAGGGAAAGAAGAGCGGCGGCGGCGGCGGCGGCGAGGCTAGGGCTGGTCACGTCTGGTAACGACCAGGGCTTAGTCAGGGGAGTGGGCCAGTCAGCGGGCAGGAAGACTGCAGGGAGAGTTCAGGAAGAGTTCAGGACGAGTTGCCGCTGGGACCGCTTCCGGGGCTAGTGGTATTGCAGTGACCGAAAAAGTTACGGCGCTAGTAAGGATGACTAAGGAATGATAATAAATAGACTCTATGCTTATATAAGGTATTATATAATACAGGATGACAGCATTCACACCTGGGCAGCAGTTCTTTCCTCGACGATGCACTCCTCTTCCATGAGGGTGACGTTGATGCTACTGCTGCTCGTTCCGGCCCTGTTGCCTCCCTTGTTTGACGGCGGCGATGGCCTGCTGCACCTCGGGAGCCTGGCCAGCCTCCTCCCTGCGCAGACGCTCCTTCATGCCTCGCCGCAGCCGGCCTACCCTGTCCACGTCCCCCCGGAAGGGCAGCATGTCCATCCCGAGCAGCTTGGCACTCTCTGCGTCTTGTGCCTGGGCCAGCTGCACGATCTGCGTCAGCTGTTTCTGCGCCTGCACGCTCAGCCCTTCTCCTCCTCCTCCTCGTCCCTTGCTCCGGCTGGCCTGCAACGTAGCCTCGGGCGGCGCCAGCTGCGAGATGAAGACGTTCATGGACATCGACGCCGTGCGCGCAAGAGACAGCATCTGGAACGGCAGCAGATAGAAGCGGTCCAGCCCCAGGAGATTGCTGAGCATAGCCGGCAGGTAGGCACCTGGCATGAAGGTTGCATTCGGGTGGGTAAGCAGCGTCAGCTCCAGTGTCAGCAGTGCAAAAAACGTATAGAACCGCCACTGAGGGAGTCAAGTCAGCCGGGGGGACTTCCACCAGAGGAGAGAAAAAAAAAAAAAAACCACTTACGTATCTACCCCAAGCAGAGAACCAGAAGGTGTTGAGCAGCACCATCAGCAGAAAACCAACAAGGTACTGCGGTGCAAGCGCATAAAGGCCTTCGTAAAAGTACGTGGCCATGCTCAGCGTCTTACTTGGACCTTCCGGCCTTACCACTACCCCAGCCCCGAACCGGTCATACGCAAACCGCTTGACTGGGTCAAGCAGCGTGTCCTGAGCCAGCTTTAACAGCACAAAGAACTCATCCGCCTTCGCCCCATCCTCAGCAGTCGAGCCTAAACCATTCTGTCGTGCCTTGTCGGGATGGAATACAGTGGCCAGTCGGCGGAAGCGTGATTTGATGGTCCGCTCGTCCGATGTAGGCAGGACGCCTAGTATTTGATAGAAGTCTGGGGCCACACGGAGGCTGTGGTATTCTTCGTAGATGGTGTACAGCAGGTAGCTGCTAATCACCGCGACATGGATGCGCCGGCGGTGACGGGCATGCCGCTCTGAGCCAGGCTGAGGGTGTGGTGTGCCAGCACTGATGGTAATGCGGTAGTAAAGGTTCTGCAGGAACGACGTAGCTATCTGGTTGATGGGATTGTTAGATTACCAGGTCGTAATGTCAATGTCTGTATGACGCGAGAGGAGGGGGACTTACTCCTGGGAGGAAAGCCCAGCCAGCATAGGACAAGACTCTAGATGCCGCGTCCATCTTGTAGAAAACCCAAAAACATAAGAAGAAGAAACAATATTAAACAGTGTCCATTTTAAAAAAATAAAACAGAATCAAGGAAAAGAAAAGGAAAGAAAGAAATGCTTCACTGCTCTTCTCTAGGTCGCTCCATATCTCTTGATGCCACGACACATGAAAAAGAGAGACACTCGGCGGCTAAACGTTAAGATGGGCGCTTCCCGGCTTGGCACTAGCCGCCAGCGAAGAACCTTATTCTCTTTTTTTTTTTTTTTTTCGTTTCCCTTCTCAGCTCAGAATTCAACCTCCCAGCGGTCGGCGTGAGAGGACGACAAGAGATACTTGTCAATTGACTGCTGACATGTCGATGGATGCAATGGAGATCGACTCGATAGCGTCGCCGGAGAAGAAGCGCAAAGACAAGAGTGAATCGAAGAAGCGAAAGAGACAAGAGCAGGCGAGCGAGACAGTCGTTGTCGACGACGGCGAGAAGAAGAAAAAGAAGAAAAAGGACAAACACTTGAAAAAGGATGAGAAGCAAGCTGTAGAGGACGGTGGAAAAGGAAGAGAGAAAGAAGCGTCCCGAAAACCTCTGTCAAAGGCCTCGTCGAACGATAAAGATACCCATTCCCTCTCCTCGACCGCAGACCAGCTCCCTTCTTTCCACCGCGTGACTACAACTCTCTACCTCCCTCTCTCGCCCATCGCTATATCACCCACCCATGCCGTGTCTTCTTTGCTGGCAGAGCACATCTCCCCTCTGCTTCTGACCTACTACCCTCCCGTCCGCGGCGTGGTTCTCGCTTACTCCAACCCGTCCATCTCAGCCACCAAGCCCACGCCGAATACAACATCAACCCACACTCCCAACCCAGAACCGCTCACCCTCGCTAAAACAGCAGGCGAGTATGGTGTCCTACACACTTATCTGACACTTACCTTCCTCGTCTTCCGGCCCGAACGAGGTCAGACCCTCGAGGGCTGGATCAACGTCCAGTCCGAAGACTTTCTGGGTGCAATTGTGTTTAACCTGTTCTCCATTGGCATTGAACGGCGTCGATTGCCCGCGGACTGGAAGTGGATTGCCCCAGGCCAGCAGTCAGACAGGCCCAGCACAACCAGCGCATCACCTACATCGAGCAGCAAGGACGAAGAAGACGATGACGATGACGAACCAGACTCAGATAAAGAGAATTTCAAGCCCTTGGCATCGAATAGCGAGGCCTCGCAGTTTGAAGACGCGGCGTCGGCGGAAACGGGATATTTCCAAACTCGTTCCGGTAAGAGAGTTCGTGGAACCATTCGGTTTCGTGTTCGAGATGTCGACGTTATACCAGGCAGTGAGCGTGATAAGGGCTTTCTTAGCCTTGAGGGGACAATGCTAAGTAAGGAGGATGAGGAGAAGCTTGTTGCCGAAGAAAGGAGTAAGGCTTCAGGCGCCGGGAGGGCAAAGGGTGGTGATAACTACCATGATCCTACATCTACAGAGCGCCAGGAAGCGCCAGATGTGGATATTGATCTTGAAGCTGATGAGGACGAGGATGTGACCATGACTGAGGCCGTGGAGGCGCAACCGTCATCAACAAAAGAGAAGAAAAAGGAGAAAAAGGAGAAGAAAGAGAAGAAGGAGAAGAAGAGTAAAAAGGAGAAAAGCTCGAAGTCGTGAGATATAATGACTTTTTTTTCAATATGAATTGATCCTTTACTTCCCCCATGTCTATCAACGCTGGACTACATTCTGCTTATGTAATCCATTAATCAATTTCGCGCGTAGGCGATTGCAAGAAGAGATCTCAGACAAAACAGACAAAACTCCACCAAACAATTGACGATGACATTGGTATAAAACAAGTCAAGCGAAACAAGATAAAATAAAGAATAGAAATAACCGCCATAATGCCGCCTACAAGCCAGGAGCTTTCACTACTCATAAATCCCCTCGTCCCAGAATCAGTCACACATAACAACCGGGTAGCTACCCTCCATCCATCTTCCGTCCATACATCATATCCCCCAACCAGAACAAAGAGTGTTGACAGCAGACTTAGATACTCGCAAACCTGCATTCCCTCATAGCCTTCCTACTAGGCACCGCCGCCGGCATTCTCGGCCTCCAGTCCGCTTACGGCTTCACATTCTACCTGCTAGGCACCATATTTGTTTCCTTCCTTGCCAACGCCCTTCTGGTGAAAGACAACGCACCCAGAACAGCAGGGAAAAGTACGAACAAGGGCATTTCCGGCGTCGGTGCCTACTTTCCGGGTGATGGGGAACTGGTCCCCGCAAGTGGTGGTGGGTATGTGAGGAAGGGAGCCTGGAAGGATCTCTGGTTCAGCGGACTTGTTGCTACAGAGGCTATTAGCGGGTTTGTTCTTGGATGGGCTGGCGTGGGCGGTATTTTGAGATAGACAAGAGTTGGCCGTGTGTTATTTGCTCTAATGATATCGGATACAGCAGATAATGTTGAGAAGTCAAGCGCTTTGGTGGCCCTGTCGGCCACACCGAGTGATACCAGACAACTAACAGATTGGCTATTGCTCAAATATCGTAAACATGTTAACTGTGCCGATCATTATCACGAACATGTCCAAGGCTTGCTACCCTTCCAAACAATCACATAGTGCAGCTGCCTCATGCGCGGCAATGAAAGCCTCCATGTGCTCCGTATTAATGAGGATACAATCGACATTAATGAAACTATAACTGCAGTATAGAGCCCTTCGATGTATTCTAAACCCCGAATCTATTGGGCAAAGCAGTCAATATCCCTTTTTTTTTTTTAGAGCAACGGAATGTAAGTGATCAGTTAAAGATCTATTAATAATAACTAATTGCTTAACTATAGAACTAGAACAAGTCAGGTACTGTCTAATAGTACATAGTAATCATATCGCGGAGTTGGACTGCGATTTTTTTTTTTTTTTGGCTCCCTCACTTCCGAAATCAATAACGAGTTAATCGTTGGATTAACTAACTAGTCACCCCCTTCTCACTATACGGCTCGCCGACGTTATTACTCTTATTATTATGTGGCTGTCCCTTGCCTTCCAACTTCCGCCCTAGCCCGCCAGCGTTAGTCCTATCACGTGCTTGGATATCACGTGTGTGCTTACGTAACTTCTACTTTCCAACGTCACGTTTGAACAATGGCATTCCAATATTGAATCTCTATCCACTTCCAACCACGGTCTCAGCTGGACCACTTGCAGTAAGGACGGACAAGTACACGCTGTTGGCCTTTGGTCATGGCTCAGATGATACCCTAAGTAGTTCAAATGTACCCCCTGAGGTTTAGGGTGAATATATCCCTTTGATTTATATCTATTGTCCCCCTTGTTATATATCTTCAGCTGTCTGAAGGTACGGCTTTATATTCCGTCAATTTATTCCCCCTAGCATGGACCCTCAACGGTTTGAAGAATTTCCTCCAAGGGTAGGCCGAATACGCCCGGTTAAGTGTTATCAATATACATATACATATATATATATATACCCTTACTAGCCTGGAGATTTCCCCGTAAGGTCTTAATCTGCCCTCTTGAATATCGGTTATTGCTCTCCTTAATACATACCCTTAAATAGCGAACAGAAGGGGGTGAATTATCTGGGAGCGTTGTCTACCCATCCTCCCTATTTGCCTGCTTGCTATTAACCCACATTCCTCCTTAGCAATATGCCAACTATCGTCCTCCTGAGCCCTTGGACCTACGCTGTTATTGATAGACAAATAATATCGGCATAATATTGGCCAGGGAAGGGGGTCTACTGGAAGGGCGAAGAGGAGTATAACTGCTTCTCTCTTAGATTTCTCTGGACAAAAAATTATTTATTTGCTCCTTGAATAAAAAAAATAAAAAAAATAAATAAAAAAATAAAAAACAATAAAAAATACAAAAAACAGGAGAAAAAAAGAAAAGAAGTCTCACTACAAAATAGAGTATCAACCGTTAGCACACCATATTTTTGACTCTTATAGAGTTTGCTTTTACTTACAACGAGTTTGCTGGAGGGTAGAAGCTCCTCCTCAGGAGCGGGCGCATCGGCCTCCTCAAAGGCTTGCAAGGCGGTGTCCATGGGCTCCAACTTAGAGATGTCAACTGAGGAGCAGGACTCCTCGTCAGTGGGGCCGGAAGCGGGAGGGGCCTCCTCGGTGGAGGAAGGAGGAGGCGGCGGAGAATCGGCGATGGCAGGGTCGGCGGGGGCGGGCTCCTCTACGGGGAGAGTAAGAGGAGGCGGCGGGTTGTCGGTGGTGGTGGTAGCAGTAGTGGTGGGGGGTGGGAGGTCGGGGCGGCGGGAGTCCGCCCAGCGCCGACTAATTGAACGTCAGTATCATGACGGCTTTCTTTTGGAGGGTTCTAACTTACATGGCGTAGCCAATGGCTCCCGACAAGTTTGTGGCACACAGGCCAAAAAACAATCCCATCGTGGCAATGATGCCCATTATCCCACCGGCCCCTAGCTGGGCAATTCCCTCGAAGCTGAGGGAAATGAGCGCGGGCCACGCCGCCGATGGGTCCGCCCCGGGAGCAGTGCAGTTGCAGGGCATGGTTCTAGTGCTGTTGCTGCTGATGCTGATGCTGTTGGTGCTGCTGCTGTTATTATCCTTGTTGTAGTGGCTCTTGCTGCTGCTGAGGACGAAGGAGAAAGGAAGAGGAAGATCGAGCGTGTGCTTCCTTTGCCTAAAGGAGACGCGTTTGGCCATCACGGGTTCTGCTGCCACTCACCGCCCTCGCACCCCTTACCGCGAGGGAGGGAATACCCCCTTAAGGCCTGCCGGATAGAGGTATGGTACTCTTCACGCAGCGTGCCATGCCGCGTGCCAAGGGTTCTACTGTAAGGGCTTTCATTCAGCTGCTCAGCTAAATATTGGACATTGATATCCAGACTCTACTAGATGGATAGCGGACTAGAAGAGCCGTTAGCAAACTCGATATATCCTTACTAGATATATATTACTAGTATGACGGGTTTTCTTATTATTACCACACGAGTATAGGGGGGTTATCAGCCCAGAATCGGCTAAAGTGCAGGTCTCATTTCAGTGTATTTTCTGATAGATTATACATACAGCCGGTGAGACAACATTATCATTCGTATAGTATAGTATGAACCCTAGTTGTGATGAAATAGGCCGCGAGGCCCTGCTACCCTTTCCAATGGTTGTTGCTATGCTAATTTCTGGATTTCTCTAGGTACAATATAACATATAATCGAAATGAGAAAGGTCTCTCTAGTTAGGACTTCCCGACTATAATCAATATGAGTACCCTACTTTTCCCATTCGAGCCGTATGTCAAGCCCCAACACAGTGTTAACTTTCTTGATACGACGATGCTAACTGATTCTCTCTAGGGTGCCCCTCCGGAGCATCACAGAAATATTTGCCTCTCCGGTAGCCACTGCCCCGGCATCACCTTAGGCATTTGCAACAATGGAAAGGAGCAACCAATCTCAACGCCAGGTGGACTCCTACTTCTCCATTCGTATCGTTTTCTTTAGGGCTCCATTCAGCTATAGCACTTGGAACCGTCCAGCGCCCTCGATAGGGAAAGGCGTAGCTGAAGAACCGGTGACACTTTTAAAATTTGGCCCTGTTTATGTCTTACGAATCCTCGACTGCGGATACAACATCCGCAGTATAACGTGCAATGGGCGTAGTATAGTCTTTTATCTGGATATTGGCCACGTGGTTTTATACAGCACTGGCATGCCCTTGTACAACAACCATCTCTTAACTTGCATGCCTCCACTAGATGTTGCTGTGAAAGGTATTTTATCGGATTATTGCGTAGAGTATTATACTTCCAGGAGGAGCTAGCTTTATCTAGCCTTATCCTAGGGCTACTAGGTTTGCGTCGATAATGATTAAACCACACATTTGTAAGAGCCCAAGCTTGACTTCTTTGCTCCATCAACATAAGTTGCCAGTCTCTCAGGCTATACTTATCTAGATCACGAATTTTGTCTAGTTTCCCGTGCGTGGTATATTCAATTATTATTTCTCTGATGAATATTTGTCGTTGTCTCCAATGATGGAGTCTTAGGGCTAAAAGTCCCTGCTCATTAAGCCAATTTATTGCTCTCCGATCTTCCTCCCTAGATAGGAAAGCTATCTTTATCTCCCGAATTTTATTAGAAATCCAATATATCTTCATACGGTCAAATAGTTGTTCGAAATTCGGGCCGATTTTTGATAATATCATAATGACAAGTATAATGCAGCCACCAGCAAGAACGTGGTTGCTGGGAAATTGTAACAAATCTCCAATTTCCATTTCTGGGCGCTCAAGACCTTATGTCTAAGATACAATGTTCGAAGATTATGTGAAAAATATTTGAGATGTGAGGTATTGAAGACTATATAGGGCCTTTCTTAGAGTATGACAATATTTTCTCCTGAGATAGCACGCGGAGTGAAGAAAAAAAAAAAAAAAAAATTGAAGGAGAAGAAGATATGCAGTTTGTCCTTTTATTGTACGTAGCCTTGGGATGAAAATCTTGCGTCAGGGTATCGTCATATAACTACGCAAAACACTTTAAAACCTGACCACGGACGGACCACTAGCTGGTGGCATTCATATAATGAGGTCATCCTTGCAGCTCTAACTTTCAGATTAACTGGTAACTAACCGCCTAGTTACCTAAACTCAGTTAGATAATTAAGCTTTGCGGCGGCTACTAAACCTTAAAACGACAGGCAATGGGTTCTCAGAGGAAGATCAGGTAGTGAGCTCTTTTTGAGTACACTACTTTAGCTTTGATGGGCAATATCTGCAATCCACACACCCTGGATTCAGAAACCAGCCTGTTTTGAACGTGCATGTATCTCCTCCCAGAGGGGTTTATGTGGCTCCTGATGAGCAAATAATAGTTAGATGTACCTGACGAATTAAGGGAGCTCCTTCAAAGTAGTCTTGGAAGCTGTTGGCATGGGCACCTATCATGGTGACATCGACCAACTGCGGGCTTGGGTTATCCAGTGGTATATACTGCTTGACAGCTAAACTAAGCGTTTCTTCTTGACTGGTAGCCGTTGCATGGGGGTATTCCCTTATATGTTGGCAGGGCACGACATGCTCAACGACCCGGAAGCAGCTGGCCATCTTATTATATACCTAGGTAACCAGGCAGAGGTGCCTTGAGCTTTGTTGCCTTCTAATCTAGCCCTCCTGGTAGCCTCCCTATCCAGCCATAGGGTATAACTCGAGAAAATAACATGTCGTGATTCTGATCGATTGTGACAAATATATTCGTCGTCTCTTTCAGCCCCAGAGTCGAACAAAGGTGGGCGGCTTAACTACAAGGGCATCCATGGATCGGCCACTTGTTACCAATGGGTCAAAGTTCCATGGCACACCCCTAATCAGCAGTGCAAAGGGACTGCATATTCTTCTTCTTCTTCTTCTTCTTCTTCTTCTTCTTCTTTTTTGGTTGGGTATCTGACCCTCAGGGTAAATAAACTCTTGTACCTGATGGCAAGTCGCAGGATATATATAAATCCTTCGAGAAAACGCGAGCTGGGAAGACGAGTTCATCCTTTGCCCGGAAAGTGTACTGTACATAGCGGACATCTATTCTGTATCTACATAGCTGTACCTGGGTTGGGCTGCTGGCCCGGAGTGACCGTATCGTGAAGGATCCAACCCTAGACCTCCGCATTAACTGTTTTGTCCTTCTTGAGGGCTCGAAGTCTGTTTTTCTCCTCGAGCACAGCATAGGCTTGTTTCTCTTTCTCCGCCTTTGAAAGGGGCGTGCTGATATACTTGTTGACTTCAACGGTGCCCTAGTAAAAATGTGTCAGGAATGAAAACCCAAAATGTGAAAGGGCCATGGTTAGATACTTACCGTAATAAGAGCCCACAGGAAGGGGACCTGGATAACCTCGCTGCTAACAATAGCCTCCCCGATCTTTCCATCCTCCGCGGCTTTCCTCTCAGCCTCCTCCTTGGCCCTTTTAGATTTGATCCAGACATTTCCAAGGAAGAATACGGCCACTAGACTGATTGCCATAATAGGAATAATTGAAATAAATGCCCACATCACGGCATTCTTCGCCAGGTTGCGCACATAGTTTTGGATATCCGGGGGCAATTTGTCAATTGCCTCCAGGCTTTGACCCGTATTATGTAGGTCCAGGCCTCCCTTACCACTGCCTGGTCGGAAGATCTCGGCCATCTTGTTGTTAAACACACTGCCCATAATGGTCAACGCAAGTGTTCCGCCAAAAGGCAAGCTGAACCTCATGATGGACATGGCAGGGGCAATCCTATCGGGCCAGATTCCAGCCACATGTAGTGTGGCCGGCATAAATCGCATTCCTGTTCCAGCACCAGCAACAGCCATCATTCCGCTGACGACAGGAATGTTTCGAGTTGTGGTTGCCCAGGTCAGGAGGGCGATTCCAACTGTTTCGATCACAGTGCCCGCACTTAGAGGAACGAATGTTTGTGCCGGCCAGACATTGCAGGTGAACATGGCAAAGTAAGCGCCAACTATTACTCAGGGTTAGTTGCAGTTGTTTATAGAAGTAGAACTGTTATGCGGATAACTTACATCCAATACCCGGGATATAGTAGAGTAACTGGAGGCCAGAGCGTCCAGCTTCGTAACCCTCAACAAGAGTGAAGTAGATAGAGATGAAGTAGAAAACAGAAAACATGGCTTTAGGGGTTTGAAATATTAGCATCAAATATGTTAGAGATTCTATAGCGTCGGCTAGTGGACTTACCAGCACCAGTTGCAAATTCAATAATGGCCAAGACAATAGTATCCCTATTCTTGATGATGTCCGAGGGTATCATAGGTGTCTGTTGGGGAAGCAGACGGCCAAATACACGCTCGGGTTCAAGCAGGTACTCATAAAGAAAGAAGAAAACAAAAAGAATCGATCCAATAACCAGTGGAGTAAGGACAGCTGCATGGGTCCATGGGTATGTAACGCCACCCCAAGCAGTACCAAGAATAATCAGGCCAACGCCAAAGACAAATAGAAAAGTGCCGCCGATATCAATAGTAGCCAGGCCAGGTAAGAAGCTGCTGCGTCGAGATCCTTTGGTGAAATGGCTTCCTTGTACCAACTCATTGCGTAGCAGAAAGTATATAATGAAATGTGCAAAAAATGCAACCTTGGTAGGCAGTTTAGTTCATACTCCTCCGAAACTGGGCTGGGGAACTCACTGGTATAGTCAAAACAAAACAGTATCTCCAGTTAGACTAGTAATTCCGTGGTCAGCAAGCAAATACCCTCAGATGATCAAAAATCTCCTTACATTCGTTAGATATCTATTCTATTATTAGCTTCAACAATATCAACAATATTAAGGACACAAAATCCAGGAGATAAACTTACCCACCGATAATAGGCCCCACACTGTAGGAAATTCCAGCAACGAACTGGAAGATGGTACTGTTTTTTGCGTTGTCTTTCAGACTGACTTTATCGGCCAGTATTATCTGAATCAAATTTGTGATACCCGACGCGCTTGTTCCTTGCAATGCCCTACCTAGCAAGAGGACACCCCACGATGGAGCAACAGCGCATAAAACGCTGCCGATGAGCATAAGAAACATTGCTAGTTGCAGAACGAAATGGCGGCCAAAGACATCGGATAGTTGGCCAAAGGCAGGAATGAACGCCGTTGAAGTAAGGGTAAATGCCGTGACAATCCAGTTGAGTTGATCCAACTTGTCTATATGAGGTTA